AGCTTCTTGCTGAGGTAGGCGATGGGCTGCAAACCGCGTCCGTGATCTTGCATCAGTACTGCTCCGACAACCTGGTCATTCGCATCTGCTTCCACCACGTAGTCCTTGTCTGGATCCGGCAAGATGAGTACTGGCGCTGTAGTCAGTGCTGTCTGCAGCTGCTCCATGGCTTGCTGATGAGGGGTATCCCATTTGTAGGGCGTATCCTTTTTCAGTAGGTCGGTCAGTGGCGCTGCTATCTTAGCGTACTACGACACGAACCTGTTGTAGTAGTTGGCGAAGCCTAGGAACTGCTGCAACTCCTTCACGTTCTCTGGTACTTTCCACTTCTTGACGGCTTCGATCTTCCGCGGGTCCACGTGTACGCCCTCGGCACTCACCATGTGCCCGAGAAACTGCACCTTCTTCAGGGCGTAGTCGCTCTTTCACAACTTCACGTAGAACTTGTTTTTCCGCAGGATCTCGAACACCTTCCGTAGATGCTCCACGTGCTCCTTCATGTTCTTGGAGTAGATGAGAATGTCGTCCAGGTACACCACCACGCACTCGTCCAGCAGGGGTCGTAAGATGTGATTCATCTCCGCCTGAAACGTTGCTGGTGCATTGCAGAGTCCGTATGGCATCACCAAGTATTCGTAGGAGCCGTATCTGGTACGGAATGCCGTCTTGTGGATCGAGTTGTCCGCCATCTTGATCTGCCAGTATCCCGATCGTAGGTCCAGTTTGAGAAGACTGTTGCACCACGTAGCTGGTCCAGTAAGTCGTCGATGCGCGGAATGGGGTATTTGTTTTTAACTGTCTGTTTGTGCAGTGCGCGGTAGTAGATGCACATCCGTAGACTGCCGTCTGGTTTTGGAGTGAAGAGAACTGGTGCGCCGTAGGGAGAGGTGGATGGACGGATCAGTTGTCTGTCCAGTAGATACTCTATCTGTTTTTTCATGTTTGTCAGTTCAGTCGGACTCAGTCAGTATGGTGCACGTGAGACGGGTTTCGCACCTGGTCCCTCCACGATCTCGTGCTCGTGGGTGCGTGCTGGAGGTACGATTGCAGGTTGGTCGTCGGGCATTATATCCTTGTATTGCTCCAACACCTCCTTCACTGTTGCAGGTAGCTCCGAACTCGGCTTCTCCTTCTCTGCTGCTGCCATAACCAGTGCTAAGTAACCCGTGTTACTCTCGTTCACCGTCTGTTCGAACCGTGCCTGTGTCGTTTCAGGAACGTTCCCTGTATCCGTCCAGCGTCGCAGTGCTATCTGCTTCCCGTTGTTGTAGATGCACTCTTTGCTGTTGACCCAATCGATCTCGGGGTTGAACCGCTTCAGGAAATCTCGCCCCAAGATAAAATCTAATCCTTTGATGTTGGTGACTGGTAGCTTCGGCTTCCACCTCAACGCACCTATATGCAGTTGCAGTGATGCTTCGCCGTGGATAGGAAGCTTCGTACCATCCACCATGGTTGCTGAAAACTGGGTCTCTTCCGCCTTCTCTCCAATTTTCTCCAATGCTCCGCGGTCACACACCGAGTGAGATGCACCGCTCTCCACAAGTGCCTGGAGGTGTCGCCCATTGCAAAACACCTCGAGGAGTAGTGGTTTCTGCTGCGCTGAGTAGCCAAAGAGGGTCTCGCTAGTAGGATCATAGGGTACATCAAACTTAATACCTTCCCTTTTTCCTATACCTGACTCAGCGCTTTCCAACTTCACCTGGGGGGTACGACGCACGACCCTTTTCTACGCTCCGTAGTACTTTGCCCAACTTCTCAGATACCTGAATAATTTCTAAAGGCTTTTTCTTGGCCTTTAGACCTCTCCTGAATTTTTCAAAGGCTTGTAAACCACGAGAAGCAATATTCTTCATTAGAGCATCTTTATAGAATACTTTTAACGAATTCTTACTTTCGGGGGTGTTCGGTTGGAGTTTCCCGGTCGGTGCAGAGTCTTTTTTCGCGGAGCCTCCATTCGCCTGGGCGATTTCCCCTGATGCCGGCCGGTCGTGACGTTTTAAATTCGCGCCATCATTTTCTCCTTTTTTCACCCGCTCCGAAGTCACCACGTCGTCGCCTTTTCCTGCTTTTCGGATCTTTACGCGATCGCCAGGTCGATCCGCGGCTACTGGCGATTCCCGTTTTTTTACTTCGGGGTGCTCCACTGTTTCCGTCCCGGAGTGCCGCACGTGCTTTCTTCATTTTGTAGCACGACAAAAACTGATGTCCTGCTTTGCCTCAAAATTCGCATTTTGTCGGCTGCTGCTTCGCGTCGTATTTGACGATATCCATCGTTTCGGCGAATGTGGGGGGTGCCGATCGCTCCGTGCCGAATGTATGGTTCGGCGTGAAGCGTCGTGTTTCGGGTTGACCTCGAGTCAGCGCGTCGTATCGCTCGGTAGCACGCACGATGTCTCTGTAGCTGTTGTAATTTGCCGGAATCACCTGCCGCCGAATCTCCATTTTTAACCCTTCGGTCTACGCCTAGATTTTTTCGCCTTCGGTTAGGTCGGTGATGCGGTTGAACAGTAACTCCATCTGCTGCGTATACTGTGTAACACTATTGTATTGCTTCTGTATCTGCGGTGTATCTGCTGTGCCATGTAGGTTGTATTAATTGGTTCGAAACGCTCGATTATATCTGCCCAAACCTGCTGCCACGTTTTCTCCCTGCGGGCTACGTCGGTGTAGTAAATCCATTCGAGAGCCGGTCCACGTAACAGTGTCGCTGCGAGCCGAATCCTTGCTGCGTCGTGTTGCGGGACCGAACAACCAATGGCCTAGAAGTAAATTTCGAGGGTGGCCACGAATCGCCGGACGTCGGATCCCTTCGTGCTTGGATTGAACGCCTCCCGGAGCCTCGGTCGTGCTGCTTCGAGGTTCGGCGATAGTGGTGCCATTGGTCCGTGAAATGTCGGTGTCGCCACTGCTGCTGGAGTTGTCGGTGCTGCAGTTGCTGTGGTCGCTGCTGCTGCGGTGGCGAACCCTGGTTGGCTTGTCAGAAAAGCCTCGATTCGACGAAGTGCCGCCCGCGTTTGCTCCATGTCGGTGCGGAGGCTCGCGATGTCGCTCGTAGTCGCGTAGTTGTGGCCTTCGCCCTCCATGCCTGACATTAACGTGTCCAAAAAACCGAATCGAGGGGGAGCGAAAAACACGGAACCGGTTTTACGTACCCGAAATCGATGTTTGACTGCGTCGCCCCCGCGGTTTTTGAAGACTGGTTTTTAGCGGTCGAAAGAACTTCGCGCGTAAACGGTCTCTGATTACCAAGTGTGAGGATCTAGGATCGAGCTCAGAAAAGAGAATGAGAATTCAGTCGAATTGAATGAATTGAATCACCTGGGTACAACACGAGGCTATATATAGGCTCGAACAAGGCCCCGTAACCAGGTGTTACGAGAAGGTTCCGCGGGTCGCAAAGCGTCCCGAATAGATCCATTCCGAATTCGGTAGAAGGCAATTCGGTGGCAACCGAAAAGGCCAGAATTCGGTGCACGCAACCTAGCTCGGTGCTATAACTATAATAAAATATAGGAAAGCACCTAGCCTAGGAAATCAAGCAATTTATGCATGCATATAATTATCCTATGCTAGAAATAGCATAATAAAGTAAGGCAAGCAAGCATTGCTGGCATAAGTTGTCGTACTCTCACACACTACCCCCTATCGCACTCCTCCTAACCACGAGCCAGACTCCACACCGCTTTGTCCCGACAACCATCGTCTCTATCAGCAGCAGCTGGGATGTCTCCTGTTCGCCGCCGTCACGTGCCAGCCCGATCTCTCCTACGTTGCAAGCCAGCTCGCATTGTACCTGAAGCGACTTGAAGGGGAGAATCTAATGGATATACGCCGAGCACTACAGTACTTCATCTCCACTCCCGACGTCGGTCTCACCTACGAAGCTAACCTCACCGCTACTCTACAGCTCCATGGCTACGTAGATGCCGACCACGCTGGAGATGTTGACAACAGACGCTCCCGCACAGGATTCATTTTTCAACTCCAACCTGCCGGACTCATATCCTGGAACTCTCAGAAGCAGTAACTTATCGCTCTCTCGTCAGCAGAAGCAGATTTCATCGCAGCTAGCGCAGCTGTTCGCGAAGGACTGTACTTGGTGGAGCTTCTGCAAGAAACGAAAGTGACGATGAACGGGCACTTTACGTTACTCTGCGACAATCAGAGCGCGATAAAGATCGCGAACAAGCCTGGCTTCATCAACCGCACCTAGCACATCGCCCTTCACTACTTCTTCGTGAAGGATGAAATCGACAAAGGGAAAGTAAAGCTGACGTACTGCCTGACTGGTGACATGGCAGCTGATTTCTTGACGAAGAAGCTGCCATGTCAGCAGTACCAACGCTGCGCCGACCTCTGCGGGATCACCAAGAAATACCACGTGGCTGTCAGAACATTATAGCTCATGCATATTGTGTAGGCTATAGTGGGGTAGCCTATAAGGGGTACAACCCAATTAGGGTTAGTACTTGTACCAAATTCATTCACAGTTCAATCATTCTCGTTTCTTCTCATGGTATCGAGTAGGTTCCCTTACGGGAACGATTCCTAGGGCCCACCACTACGAACCTTTTTTTTTTTCCTGCCCGGAGCGCGCTCCGCTTAGGCCTGAGTCGCGCCTCGTGTGCCCTGTCTACCGTCGCGCCCTCCCTAGGCCTCCTTTTGCCCCGTCGCGTCGCCCCTAGCGGCCTCCTTCGAGCCGCCCTCACGCAGCCCGTCGCCGCCCTTACTCAGCCCGACGCCTCCCTTGCGCGGCCCGTCGCCGCCCTTCGCGGCTTCGCGTGCCGCCCTTACGGTACACCGCCGACCTCCGCGGCCCCTCGCGCCGCCCTCACTTGCGACCCCGCCGCCTACCTGCTGGCCCCGCCGCCCTTACCTGCGGACCCGCCACCTACCCGCAGCCCCGCTACCTACCTGCGGCCTCGCCGCCTACCTGCTGGCCCCGCCACCCTTACCTGCGGCCCCGCCACCCTTACCTGCGGCCCCGCCACCCTTACATGCGGCCCCGCCGCTCTTACCTGCGGCCCCGCCACCCTTACCTGCGGCCCCGCCACCCTTACCTGAAGCCCCGCCACCCTTACCTGCGACCCCGCCGCTCTTACCTGCGGCCCCCCCACTCTTACCTGCGGCCCCGCCGCACCTACCTGCGGCCCCACCGCCCTTACCTGCGGCCCCGTTGCCCCTACCTGCGGCCCCGCCTCCCTTGCCTGCAGCCCCGTTGCCTACTGAAGCGCCGCCCGCCACCCGAGCTGCCCGGGCTGCCATACCCAGCCGAGCAGCCTACCGCCGCGCCGCCCTGCAGCCGACCGCCGAGCCGCCCAACAACCAAGCAGCCGAGCCGCCGCGCCGCCAAGCCGCCCTGCAGCCCAGCCGCCCAGCAGCCGAGCCGCTCAGCAGCCGAGCCGGCGTGCCGCCGAGCCGCCCAGCAGCCGGGCCACCGAGCCGCCCAGCCACCGAGCCGCCAAGCAGCCGAGCCGCCCACCAGCCGAGCCGCTCAGCAGCCGAGCCGCCCGCACCGCCGAGCCGCCAGAGCAGCGCCTCTGTCACTACACTGCCCTTACCCTACTGTTTGTGCTGCTAGTCTACTTCTGTCATGGCTACCCCTAGTGTCCTCGCTTTTGACGCTGAGGGTCGGGCCATTGACTTCGACGTCTGGATAGATGACCTGCAGCTTTTCTTACAGTGCGATAGGGCAGACAGTCTCTCGCTCTTTGACTTCACCTCTGGTGCCTCTCCTGCCCCTGCTGCTGATGCTGACGCCACTGTTCGCTCCCAGTGGGCCAGGCGTGATGCTGCTGCACGTCTTGCTGTGAGTCGCCACCTCCCTACCTCTGAGCGTGCGCACTTTAGTCAGTACAAGAGTGCTCAGACCTTGTACGACGCTGTAGTTGCACGCTACTCCTCCTCTGCCACTACTGCACTGAGCCGCCTCATGATACCATACCTCTTTCTTGACCTTGCTGCCTTTCCCACAACCGCTGACCTCATTACGCACCTCCGCACTAGTGACACTCACTACCGCGCTGCGCTTCCTGCTGAGTTCTGCGCCAAGAACCCCCCCCCCCCCCATGTACATCACTCTCTACTACATAGTCACTCGCCTCCCTGACTCCCTTCGCGTAGTCAGGGACCACAACCTCTCAATCTGTCCCACCACTCTCACTGTTGACCTCCTCGAGAAGGCCCTCTTAGCAGCGGAGAAGAGTAAAGTCGCTGTAGGAGCCTCTCGTGGTGACCCACGCACCCCCATCTTTGAGGGGTGTTCCCCCTCCCCCCTTCTGCCCTCTGTCGCCTCTGCTGCTGCGACCGAAGTTGTTGGGCTTGAGTCGGTCGGTGCGGCGTCTACCCCTAGCGGGAGACGCCGCTCTAGCAAGGGCAAGGGGGGCAGGGGCGCTGGAGGAGCTAGCGGGGGCGGTGGAGGCGGAGGTGGAGGCAGCGGGGGGAGTGGGGGTGGCGGTGGGGATGGAGGTGTCGGTGGCGGAAGTGGAGGCGGAGGCGGCGGCGGTGGTGATGGTGGGAGCGGAGGTGGCGGAGGTAGCGGCGGTGGAGGAGGCAGTGCCGGAGGAGGTGGAGCTGGTCGGGGTGGCACTACGCAGAGGGTCGGCTCCGGTAGTGGTCCGCGCCAGCCGCAGCAGCAGCAGCAGCGCGCTCATGACACCCCCTCCCCTCAGCAGCTCCGTGAGTGGTACGCTTCACGCCAGCGGGGTGGGGGTACTGGTCCGTGCACCTACGTCCTGCGCACCGGCGACCGTGCGGGTGAGCAGTGTGGAAGTGCGCACCCCACCCAGCGCTGCTTTGGCCGCCTGACGGACGCTTGGCGTCACCAGTTCTCTGAGGCCACTGAGATCCCTCTCTAAGGCGAGCTGTCTAGGGCAGGGGTAGCTATCTTTGACCTTGACTTTGATGTTATTCTTGTTGTTATGTATACTGTGTCTATTAGTGAGGAGGGTGACTGTTACCGGTGTTTCCCGCCCGACCTGGGCATTGAGATTGCTGCTCTAGGTGCTGGTGAGACTTATGCTCTTGGTGCTAGCGAGGCTGCTGCTCTTGGTGCTAGTGCATCAACTTCCTCAGGTACTGCGTCGGCTTCGGCCTCCCACACCTTCACACTTGACTTGGGGGCTTCTCGCTCCTTCTTTCAAGACCGCACCACACTCACGCCGCTTGGTCGGCCAATTGCAGTCTCCCTGGTAGACCCCTCTAGGGGTCCTGTCCTTGCTCACTTCTCCACTGTCCTCCCTTCTCCGGCGGCCCCCTCTGGCACCCTGTCTGGTCTTTACTTCCCCTCGTTCTCTACGAACTTGGTGAGTGGTGCTGACCTACAGGATGCGGGGGTGCACCAGTTCACTCCTGCGAATCAGCGGGTGACCCACTGCACGGACGCTCTGACAGGCCGACACCTGGCCACGTTAACACGTCGGCCGGGGTCGAGCCTGTACACACTGACCACTGCGTCTCCTCCAGTCCCTACGTCTGGTCAGGTAGCTGCGTCGGGTCAGGTGTTAGCTGCAGCGTCCAGGTCTGGTCCTGAGTCTGCCCCCTGCTCGTGTCGCCTCTTGTCTCACGAGACTCTCCTCTGGCACCACCGCCTTGGTCACCCCTCCCTGCTTTGTCTCCGAAGCATGGCCTCCCGTGTCCTTGTCTCTGGTCTTCCCCGGTCCCTCCCTCCCCTTCCTCCTGACCTGGCCCTACCTGCGTCCCTTGTTTTGAGGGGCGGCAGCGCGCTACCCCTCACTCCTCCCAGTTTCCTCCGACAGAGGCCCCGCTGCAAACGCTTCACATGGACGTGTGGGGCCCAGCCCACGTCCGTAGACACGGTCACGAGAGCTACTTCCTGCTGGTGGTTGACGACTTCTCGCGTTACACCTTAGTCTTCCCCTTGCGCAGCAAGGGTGATGTCACTGAGGTGTTGATCGACTGGATCCGCGCAGCTCGTCTCCAGCTCAGGCGAGCTTCGGCTCGGACTTTCCTGTTCTGCGTCTGCACTCTGACAGAGGCGGAGAGTTCTCCTCTGGCCTTCTACGAGCCTACTGTCGTGTACGAGGCATCCGCCAGACCTTCACGATTCTGGCCTCTCCATAGCAAAGTGGGGTTTTTGAGCGCCGCATTGGCATGGTCATGGACGTCGCCCGTACGTCCATGATGCATGCGGCTGCCCCCCATTTTCTGTGGCTGTTTGCGGTTTGGTACGCGGCGCATCAGATCAACCTTCAGCCCAGGGTCTCCATGCCAGAGACCTCCGCAGCCTTGCTGTGGACGGGGAAGGTTGGCGATGCGTCTGCGTTCTATGTCTGGGGATCTTGGGCGTTTGTCCGCGACTTGTTTGCGGACAAGCTGTCCCCTCGTGCTGCTCCTTGCGTCTTCCTGGGTTTTCCCCCTGACATGCCAGGGTGGCAGTTCTACCACCCCACCTCTCGCCGTGTTGTGTCCTCCTAGGACGTCACGTTCAACGAGTCAGTCCCCTACTACCGTCTCTTCCCCTACCGCACTCCATCCCTCCCCCCGCCACCGCTCTTCCTTGTGCTAGGTCCCCCTTCGGTAGACCCCCTCCCCCCTTAGGGTCCTGCCCCTTCAGGTGTTTCCCATGCAGACGCTGTTGAGCCTGTCGAGGTTGCTGGTGACTCTGGTGCTGCTGAGGGTGCTGAGCCTGGGGGTGCTAACTCTGGAGGTGCTGAGCGTGTGGGTGCTACGCCTGGGGGTGCTGAGCCTGAGGGTGCTACGACTGGGGGTGCTGAGCCTGGGGGTGCTGAGTCTTGGGGTGCTGAGCTTCGGGGTGCTACGCGTGGGAGTGCTCAGACTGGGGGTGCTGAGCCTGGGGGTGCTACGCCTGGAGGTGCTGAGCCTGGGGGTGCGGAGCCTGAGGGAGCTGGGCCTGCTGGTACTATGCCTGGCGGTTCTCCGGGTGCTTCTTCTGGCCGCGAACCTTTCTCTCCACAGGAGCTGTGTGAGTGGTTTGCCTGGCGCTGGAGGTGAGCTGCTGGAGCCGGAGGTGCTGCGGGTACTGGAGGTTCTGTTGCTGCTGAGGGAGCTGGTGCCACGGGTCCCGGAGGTGCTCGTACTGGGAGTACTGGAGCTTCTGGACCTGCGGGTACTTCTGGAGCTGGAGCTGCTGCGGGTGTTGGCGCGCAGGCTACTGCTGTCGGTCCTTGCTGGGGGTACTACTGGTGCTGGTGGAGGTACTAGAGCTGAAGCTGCTACTAGTGCTGGTGCTGCCACTGGGGGTGCTGGTGCTGTCCCTGCTGTGTCTCGAGTCGCTGCTCGGCCTTGGCCGTACTTCGTTCCGCTCTTTCAGCAGGTTCTTGGTCTCCCGTCTTCTACTGGTCCTCCTCCTCCCTTCGAGTGTCCACAGCCTGTCCCGTCGCAGTTACAGTTACAGCCGTCCTCCCCACTGCCTGCTCCGTCTCCCTATACAGGTTCTACTGGAGGTCTTGCTGAGCGTCGTGAGCCTGCGTCTCGCCCTGCGTCGCCAGTCCGTGCTGCTCGCACTAGTGGTCGCGGTTCGCGTCAGCGTCCTCCTCCTGTCCCTGGCACGCAACGGATGTCTCTACATCCGTCCACTGCTGTGTCTGCCCTAGTTGCTGAGCTCGTCGACTTTGCTGCTCGCTGTCGCCTAGACTACGCTGCTAGTCTTGTCGCTGAGTCTGAGTCTGTCTGTCCTCCGTCCGTCGGGGGTGAGTGTGCTCTTGGCACGGACGTTCTTGAGGACAGGCAGGAGGAGTTCCAGTGCCTGGCAGCTGCTTCACCTCATCTCGTGTCCGTACTGCTTACCCCTGAGGGAGACCCGGATGCACTTGACATCCCGACTCCGCGCTCTTACGCGGAGGCGATAGAGGGTCCCTACTCCTCTCAGTGGCAGGCAGCTATGGATGCAGAGATGGCTTCCTGGAAGTCCAAAGGCACCTACGTTGACGCTGTTCCCCCTCCTGGGGCGAACATCGTCAGTGGCATGTGGATTTTCAGGGTGAAGCGGCCGCCGGGTTCTCCGCCTGTCTTGAAGGCGCGTTACGTGGCTCGTGGCTTCAGTCAGCGGCAGGGAGCTAACTACTTTGAGACCTTCTCTCCCACCCCGAAGATGACCACTCTTTGGGTACTGCTGCACATAGCTGCTCACCGTGACTACGAGCTACACTCTCTTGACTTCAGCACTGCTTTCTTACAGGGCACCCTGCACGAGGAGATCTGGCTGCGTCGCCCACCTAGTTTCACTGGGTCTTTTTCTCCTGGCACCCAGTGGAGCCTCCGGCGGCCAGTCTACGGTCTCTGCCAGGCACCGCGTGACTGGCACGACACATTGAGGACTACACTTGCGACTCTTGGGTTTGCTCCCTCTACTGCCGACCCGTCGCTGTTTCTGCGCACCGACACTTCTTTGCCGTCGCTCTACATCCTCGTGTACGTCGACGACTTGGTCTTTGCCACAGCTGACACTGCTGGACTCGCCCACATGAAGTCCGAGCTGCAGAAGAGACACTGACCTGGGTGAACTGCGTAGCTACCTTGGCTTGCAGATCACTCGGGACAGAGCACGCCGCACCATTACCCTGACTCAGTCACACATGGTGCAGCAGGTCCTTCAGCGCTTCGGCTTCACGTACTCCTCGCCTCAGGCCACTCCTCTGCCTACTCGCCACTCGCTCTCAGCTCTGCCTTCGGATGAGTTCTTAGAGCCGAGTGGCCCGTATCCAGAGCTTGTTGGCTGCCTCATGTACCTGATGACCTGCACACGACCTGACCTTGCATACCCTCTTAGCATTCTCGCATGCTATGTTGCTCCTGAGAGACACAGACCGGAGCACATGACTGCAGCGAAGAGGGTGTTGCGCTACTTGTGCAGAACGTCAGGCATGGGGCTTGTGCTTGGAGGGCAGAGTCCATTGGTCCTTACTGGGCACACAGACGCTTCTTGGGCTGACGACCAGGCTACGCAGCGGTCGTCACAGGGTTACACCTTCAGCCTTGGTTCTGGCTCTGTTTCGTGGCGGGCTACTCGCTCGTCTTCTGTTCTCGGCTTCAGTTGTGAGGCTGAGATCTACGCAAGAGCCATGGCTGCACAGGAGCTTTGCTCGCTCACCTACCTGCTGACTCATCTCGGAGAGCCACCTCGTTCCCCTCCAGTGCTGTACGTGGACAACAAGGCCATGCTGGCCTTGTGTCGAGAGCAGAGAATGGAGCACAGAACGAAGCACATTGCTCTCCGCTACTTCCTTGCTCGTGAGCTACAGCAGCGTGGTCAGCTGCGCCTTGTGTATGTGGCCTCTGAGGCCAACACTGCTGATATCTTCACCAAGGCGCTTGCGCCTTGTGACCATCAGCGCTTCTGTACTCAGCTGGGCCTTGTGCCAACCTTGCCTCACTTACTCACCTCTTGACCTTGCTTGTACTGTTACATATATATACCTGCTCTTGCTTGTCTAGCCTTCTTTATATATATGTACTCCTGCATGTGAACTGGCCTTGTGGCCTTGAACTTGTGCTCGGAATGTGTGGTGACTTTGTGATCCACCCTGAGCTTGCTTTGCTTTGCTTAACTGGTCTTGTGACCCCTTGTTCTCCCCCACTTTGCCTATGGGGGTGTGTCAGAACATTATAGCTCATGCATATTGTGTATGCTATAGTGGGGTAGCCCATGAGGGGTACAACCCAATTAGGGTTAGTGCTTGTACCAAATTCATTCATAGTAGGATCATTCTCGTTTCTTCTCAGTGGCCCACCTTCAGGAATGAAGGGGAGTGTTGGAAAAAACGAAAGGTTATATAAAGCATTCCCGAAGCTGTTCCACTGTACCAGTACCGCAATAGCTCATATAGAGCATGCGGAATGTCGAGGGTCACCCGAAGGTCAACCGTTTGAGGAAGTCAACGGTCGTGACCCTTTACAATCCAGTAACCGCGCGAGAGTTATTTCACTGCAACATGGTAACTGTCGTGGATAGCAATAGTCATGGTTACTGTAGCTATGCAATACAGTTAATAAGGGAATGTACCCCTCAGAGTACATGGCTAGCTAGATTTCTATTAATCTCTTGTACCGTATTCTCCTGGATAAAACACCCCCCCCTGTAATTGTATACCCCCGGGTAGCTTATACGGGGTGGGTGTTATATCCGACCCCATTAGTACTATACCCCCCTTTTTGGGGTGATTATCTATAACACCCCCCTTTTCTTATAGATTCCTATTATAGCTGTTATCGAGTCCGATTCCGTGCGGTAGGATATCGCGAAAATCACTCTTTAGAAGAAATTTTGCATGTACTTTCACTCAGAATCAGCCGAGATATCCCCCCTCCCACAATCTCGCTGTCGCCACGATGTTGAATCCCAAAATCTCGCTGTCGCCATGCTTGCGAATCTTACACTGCAAGTGGTCCAAGAGGTGAAGTGGCCGAAGTGGCCCACAATATGTCAGAACATATAGCTTACTTGTTTCTGTAGGCTATAGTGGGGTATCCCATAAGGGGTACAACCCAATCAGGGTTTCCCATTTGTACTCACTTCGTTCATAGTCATTCCATTCTCGTTCACTTCTTCTCATGGTATCGAGCAGGTTCCCCTGTGGGAACTGTTCGTAGGGCCCACCACCGCTACCGCTTAACTTTTTTTTCTGCCCGGAGCGCGCTCCGGGCCCTAGTACTTCCTTTTTTTTTCGATCTGCCCTAGTGCTCTGACGGCCGCCCGCCCTAGCGCCCGAGCGCCGCCGCCCTTGCGCCCTGACGGCCGCCCACCCTAGTGCCCTGACGGCCGCCCGCTCTAGCGCCCGAACGCCGCCCGCCCTAGCGCCCTGACGGCCGGCCGCCCTAGCGCCTTGACGGCCGCCCGCCCTAGCGCCCGAGCGCCGCCCGCCCTAGCGCCCGAGCGCCGCCCACCCTAGCGCCCGAGCGCCGCCCACCCTAGCGCCCTGACGGCCGCCCGCCCTAGCGCCCGTGCGCCGCTCGCCCTAGCGCCCTGACGGCCGCCCGCCCTAGCGCCCGTGCGCCGCTCGCCCTAGAGCCCTGTCGGCCGCCCGCCCTAGCACCCGAGCGCCGCCCGCCCTAGCGCCCGAGCGCAGCCCGCCCTAGCGCCCTGACGGCCGCCCGCCCTAGCGCCCGTGCGCCGCTCACCCTAGCGCCCGAGCGCCGCCCGCCCTTGCGCCCTGACGGCCGCCCGCCCTGACGCCTGAGCGCCGCCCGTCGTCGCCCCAGCGCCCTAGCGCCCGACGCCCGCGAGCCGCCCGTCGCAGCCGCTCGTGAGCTGCCTGTACGCCGCCCACCGAGCCGCCCGTGCACCCGCCCAGCGTGAGCCGCCCACGACCGCCCAGGCCGCCGTCCCTGAGCCGCCCGCGCCGCCGTCCCTGAGCCGCCTGTGCAGCCGCCCGCGAGCCGCCAGCGAGCCGCCCGTCGCGACGCCCGCGCCGCACGAGCCGCCCGTACAGCCGAGCCGCCCCAACCGCCCGTGCAGCAGACCCGCCCGAGCCGCCCGAGCCGCCCGAGCCGCCCGCGCCGCCCCAGCAACCCGAGCCGCCCGAGCCGCCCGGGCAACCTGAGGAGCCGAGCTCCTGCTCCTGCGTGGCTGCTGCTGCTCCGAGGCGTGCGCAGCTGCTGTTCTGCCGAGTTGCTGAGCCGCTGTGCTACTCGACTCTTCGTGCCCGGTGAGACAATCAGCTGCTGCAATGGCCACCCCCAGTGTCCTGTCTTTTGACGCTGAGGGTCGCCCCATTGACTTTCCAGTCTGGATTGAGGACCTGCAGCTGTACTTACTGTGCGATGCGATCGATGAGGTTTCTCTCTTTGACTTTGTCTCTGGAGCTGTCCCTGCCCCTCCTGCTGATGCTGACCCTGCTGTTCGCTCCAAGTGGGCCACACGCGATGCTGCTGCACGTCTTGCTGTGCGTCGCCACCTCCCTTCCTCCGAGCGTGCCCACTTTAGTCAGTGCAAGACCGCTCAGGCCTTGTACGACGCTGTAGTTGCACGCTACTCCTCCCCTTCCTCCGCTACGCTGAGCCGCCTCATGCTACCGTTTCTCTTCCCTGACCTCGCTGCCTTTCCCACTGTCGCTGACCTCGTTACCCACCTCCGCGCTAGTGACGCTCGCTACCGCGCTGCCCTTCCTGCTAAGTTCCGCGCCGCAAACCCTCCTCCCATGTACATCACTCTCTACTTTCTCGTCACCCGTCTCCCTGAGTCCCTTCGTGTCGTTAGGGACCAGTTTCTCTCTGTCTGTCCCACCACCCTCACTGTCGACCTCCTTGAGGAGTCCCTGCTAGCGGCTGAGAAGAGTATCGTCGCTGTAGGGGCCTCTCGGGGTGACCCTCGCACCCCCATCTTTGAGGGGTGTTCTCCTTCCCCCCTGCTGCCCTCTGTCGCCTCTGCCGCTGCGGCCGACCTCGCTGGTTTTGAGTCGGTCGGTGCGGCGTCTGCCCCCAGCGGTAGACGCCGCTCTGGCAAGGGCAAGGGGGGCAAGGGAGCGGGTGGAGCTAGAGGGGGCAGTGGCGGAGGAGGTGGGGGTGGCGGAGGGAGTGGGGGTGGCGGTGGAGGTGGTGGCGGGAGTGGAGGTACTGGTGGAGGCGGTGGAGGCGGAGGTGGCGGCGGAGGCGGTAGCGGAGGAGGCGGGGGCGAGGGTACCGGTGGGGGCGGTGGCGGTGGAGACGGGGGTGGCGGTGGAGGCGGGAGTGGCGGTGGCGGCGGGGGTCGGAGTGGCTCGTCCCAGCGGAGCAGCTCTGGGGGTGGCCAGCGCCAGCAGCAGCAGCAGCAGCAGCAGCGCTCTCGCACCGTCCCCGCCCCTCAGCAGCTCCGTGAGTGGTACTTGCAGCGTCAGCGTGGTGGTGCGTTTGGTCCCTGCCCCTACGTTCTTCGCACCGGTGACCGTGCGGGGGAGAGGTGTGGAGGCACCCACGCAGCCCGCCGCTGCTTTGGCCGCCTGACCGACGCCTGGCGTCAGCAGTTTCCGGAGGCCGCTGAGATCCCCCGCTGGGGGGAGCTGTCTAGGGCTGGTGTAGCCATTTATGATCTTGACTTTGATGCTATTCTTTCTGCTATGTATGGTGTGACTGGTAGTGATGAGGATGACTGTTACCGGTGTTTCCCGCCCGACCCGGGCATTGGTACTGCTGCGTCAGGTGCTGGTGAGGCTGCTGCTCTAGGTGCCAGTGCGTCTGTGCTCTCAGGTATTGGTGAGTTTGCCCTCTCAGGTACTGTGTCGGCTTCGGCCTCTCACACCTTCACCCTTGACTCTGGAGCGTCTCGCTCCTTCTTTCGGGACCGCACCACTCTCACGCCGCTGAGTCGGCCGGTTGCGGTGTCCCTGGCTGACCCCTCTGGGGGGCCTGTCCTGTCTCGCTTCTCCACGGTCCTTCCGTGTCCGGCGGCCCCCTCTGGCACCCTGTCTGGTCTCTACCTCCCCTCGTTCTCGACGAACCTGGTGAGTGGTGCTGACCTACAGGATGCGGGTGTCCACCAGTTCACTCCTGCTCGTCAGCGAGTGACCCACTGCACGGAGGCTAGCACGGGACGCCACCTGGCTACGTTTACACGTCGGCCAGGGTCGAGCCTGTACACACTGACCACTGCTTCTCCTCCAGGTGCTGAGTCTGGTAGGGTCCCTTCGTCTGGTCAGGTGTTTGCCGCAGCGTCCAGGTCTGGTCCTGAGTCTGCCCCCTGTTCGTGTCGTCGTCTGTCTCACGAGACCCTCCTCTGGCACCACCGCCTTGGCCACCCCTCTCTGCTTCGGCTCAGAGGCATGGCCTCCCGTCTTCTTGTGTCTGGTCTCCCCCGGTCTCTACCTCCCCTTCCTCAGGGCCCTGGCCCTACCTGTGTCCCCTGTGTCGAGGGGCGCCAGCGTGCTGCCCCTCACTCCTCCCAGTTTCCTCCGACAAAGGACCCCTTGCAGACGCTTCACATGGACGTGTGGGGCCCAGCCCGCGTCCGTGGACAGGGTCAGGAGCGCTACTTCCTGCTCGTTGTTGACGACTACTCGCGTTACACCACAGTCTTCCCCTTGCGCAGCAAGGGTGAGGTCACTGAGGTGCTGATCGACTGGATCCGCGCAGCTCGTCTTCAGCTCAGGCAGAGCTTTGGCTCCGACTTTCCTGTGTTGCGTCTGCACTCAGACAGAGGCGGAGATTTCTCCTCTGGCCTTCTGCGTGCCTACTGTCGTGCGCGAGGCATCCGCCAGTCCTTCACGCTTCCGGACTCCCCGCAACAAAATGGGATTGCTGAGCGCCGCATTGGCATGGTCATGGACGTCGCCCGTACGTCCATGATGCATGCGGCTGCCCCCCATTTTCTGTGGCCGTTTGCGGTCAGGTACGCAGCGCATCAGATCAACCTCCACCCCAGGGTCTCCAGGCCGGAGACCTCCCCAGCCCTGCTGTGGACGGGGAAGGTTGGCGATGCGTCGGCGTTCCGGGTCTGGGGATCTCGGGCGTTTGTCCGCGACTTGTCTGCGGACAAGCTGTCCCCTCGCGCTGCTCCCTGCGTCTTCCTGGGGTTTCCCCCCGACGCCCCTGGGTGGCAGTTCTACCACCCCACCTCTCGACGTGTTCTGTCCTCCCAGGACGTCACGTTCGACGAGTCGGTACCCTACTACCGCCTCTTCCCCTACCGCACTCCGTCCCTCCCCCCACCCCCGCTCTTCTTGGTACCAGGTCCCCCCGCGGTAGACCCCCTCCCCCCTCAGGGTCCTGCCCCTTCAGGTGTGTCCCAGGTAGACGCGGTCGAGCCTCTCGAGGTCACTGGTGACTCTGGTGCTGCTGCGGGAGCTGAGCCTGGGGGTGCGGAGCCTGGGGGTGCGGAGTCTGGGGGGTGCTGAGCCTGGAGGTGCCGAGCCTGGGGGTGCTGAGCCTGGGGGTGCTGCGCCTGGGGGTGCTGAGCCTGGGGGTGCTGAGCCTGGGGGTGCTGAGCCTGGAGGTGCCGAGCCTGGGGGTGCTGAGCCTGGGGGTGCTGCGCCTGGGGGTGCTGAGCCTGGGGGTGCTGAGCTTGGGGGTGCTGAGCCTGGGGGTGCTGTGCCTGGGGGTGCTTCGTCTCGCCGGGAGCCACTCTCCCCACAGGAGCTGCGTGAGTGGTTTGCCAGGCGCTGGAGGCGTGTTGCTGGTGCTGGTGGTTCTTCGGCTGCAGAGGGTACTGCTGCCGCGCGTCCCGGCGGTGCTCGTACTGTGGGTGCTGGAGCTGCTGGGTCTGAGGGTTCTCCTGGAGCTGGTGCTGCTGAGGGTGTTGGCGCTGTGCCTGCTGCTGGCGGTCCGACTGACTGTGCTCCTGGTGCTGCTGCTGGAGGTTCTGGTGCTGCTGGAGGTGCTACTGTAGTGGGTGCTCCTGCTGGGGGTACTGGTGCTGTTCCTGCTGTTTCTGGCGTCGCCGCGCGGCCCCGACCGTACTTCGTTCCGCTCCTGCAGCAGGTTCTTGGTCTTACACCTCCTCCTCCCTTAGAGGGTCCGCAGCCTGTCCGGTCACAGCCACAGCTACAGCCTGCCTCCCCTTTGCCTGCTCCTGCTCCCTACGCTGGTCCGACTGGAGGTCTTACTGAGCGTCGTGAGCCTGCGTCTCGTCCTGCGTCGCCTGTTCGTACTGCGCGCGCTAGTGGTCGCGGTTCGCGTCAGCGTCCTCCTCCTGTCCCTGGCACACACCGGATGTCACTGCGTCCGTCCACTGCTCCTCTGCGTGCCCCTTTGCCTTCTCCTCCTGCTTCCTCTCTTCCTGCTCTTGCCGACCCGGAGTCGGACTCTCTTCGTGCTGCCAGTCCTACTGTCACGCGTCTCCTTGCTACTGCTGTCACTGACCCTTCCTTCGAGTCGTCTGCTGCGTCTGCCCTTGTCACTGAGCTTGTCGACTTTGCTGCACGCTGTCGTCTAGACTACGCTGCCAGTCTTGTCGCTGAGTCTGAGTCTGCCTGTCCTCCGTCCGTCGGGGGTGAGTGTGCCCTCGGCACGGACGTCCTTGAGGACAGGCAGGAGGAGTTCCAGTGTCTGGCAGCCGCTTCACCTCATCTCGCGTCTGTACTGCTAGCCCCTGAGGGAGACCCGGATGCACCAGACATCCCGAATCCGCGCTCTTACGCGGAGGCGATAGAGGGTCCCTACTCCTCTCAGTGGCAGGCAGCTATGGATGCAGAGATGGCTTCCTGGAAGTCCACAGGCACCTACGTCGACGCTGTTCCCCCTCCTGGGGCGAACATCGTCAGTGGCATGTGGATTTTCAGGGTGAAGCGGCCGCCGGGTTCACCGCCTGTCTTCAAGGCGCGTTACGTGGCTCGTGGCTTCAGTCAGCGGCAGGGGGTTGACTACTTTCAGACCTTCTCCCCCACCCCGAAGATGACTACTCTTCGGGTTCTGCTGCACGTTGCTGCTCACCGTGACTACGAGCTGCACTCTCTCGACTTCAGCACAGCTTTCTTGCAGGGCAGTCTGCACGAGGAGATCTGGCTGCGTCGCCCACCTGGCATCACTGGGTCTTTCCCTCCTGGTACCCAGCGGAGTCTCCGGCGTCCAGTCTACGGTCTCCGCCAGGCGCCTCGTGAGTGGCACGACACACTGAGGACTACGCTCGCGGCACTTGGGTTTGCTCCGTCTGCCGATCCGTCGCTGTTTCTGCGCACCGACACCTCTCTGCCGCCGTTCTACATCCTCGTGTACGTCGACGACTTGGTCTTTGCCACAGCTGACACTGCTGGACTCGCCTACGTGAAGTCCGAGCTGCAGAAGAGACACACGTGCACTGACCTGGGTGAACTGCGTAGCTACCTTGGCTTGCAGATCACCCGGGACAGAGCGCGTCGCACCATTACCCTGACTCAGTCACACATGGTGCAGCAGGTCCTTCAGCGCTTCGGCTTCACGTACTCCTCGCCTCAGGCCACTCCTCTGCCTACTCGCTGTCAGAATCAGAAGAAAGAAAGAGGATTGAACTAGCAAGAATGAGGATACAAATAGCAAACCCTAGAAGGGTTGTACTCGCTATAGAGCACCCCACTACAGGCTAGAACAATAAGAAAATATTCTGACACTCGCCACTCACTCTCAGCTCTGCCTTCGGATGAGTCCGTAGAGTCGAGTGGCCCGTTTGCAGAGCTTGTTGGCTGCCTCATGTACCTGATGACCTGCACACGTCCTGACCTTGCATACCCTCTTAGCATTCTCGCACGCTATGTTGCTCCTGGGAGACACCGACCAGAGCACATGGCTGCAGCGAAGAGGGTGTTGCGCTACTTGTGCAGCACGTCGGGCATGGGGCTAGTGCTTGGAGGGCGCAGTCCAGTGGTCCTCACTGGGCACGCAGACGCTTCTTGGGCTGACGACCAGGCTACGCAGCGGTCGTCACAGGGTTACACCTTCAGCCTTGGTTCCGGCTCTGTTTCGTGGCGGGCTACCCGCTCGTCTTCTGTTCTCGGCTCCAGTTGTGAGGTTGAGATCTACGCTGGGGCTATGGCTGCGCAGGAGTTACGTTGGCTCACCTACCTGCTGACCGACCTTGGAGAGCAGCCTCGTTCTCCTCCAGTCCTGTACGTAGACAACAAGGCCATGCTGGCCTTGTGTCGAGAGCAGCGACTGGAGCACAGAACGAAGCACATTGCTCTCCGCTACTTTCTTGCTCGTGAGCTACAGCAGCGTGGACAGTTGCGACTTGCGTACGTGGCCTCTGAGGCCAACACTGCTGATGTCTTCACCAAGGCACTTGCGCCTTGTGATCATCAGCTTTGTTGCACGCAGTTGGGTCTTGTGCCTGTCTTGCCTCACTTGCTCTCCTCTTGACCTTGCTTGTACCTTCGCCTATATATATTCTTGTTCTTGCTTGTTTGCCTCTTGTATATCTCTATATATGATCTTGCATGTGAACTGGCCTTCTGGCCCTTGAACTTGTGCTCGGAATGCGTGGTGACTTTGTGATCCACCCTGAGCTTTGCTTTGCTTTGCTTGACTGGTCTTGTGACCCCTTGTTCTCCCCCACTTTGCCTATGGAGGTGTGTCAGAACATATAGCTTACTTGTTTCTGTAGGCTATAGTGGGGTATCCCATAAGGGGTACAACCCAATCAGGGTTTCCCATTTGTACTCACTTCGTTCATAGTCATTCCATTCTCGTTCACTTCTTCTCACAATATCCTCAGAATCGGTTTTGCGGCATTGATCAACAATCTTGAAGTGAAGTCAGACCCCTGATTTTGTTTCACATCTTTTTTGTTTTTTGTTTTTTAAATATATCATATCATAAGATCTGGCTATTATATAGGATTTTCCTTTGAGGAGACCCCCCCCCTTTTTTTCCAGTGGTTTTCATAATACCCTAGGGTGTTTTATCCGGGAGAATACGGTACTCCTATCTTTCAATCATCTTGTTCTCTTTCAATTATTACTCAACAAGGTCACTTCAGAGACTTCATCGTCTCCTCTCAGACCTAACAGATTCTATACTATCCACTGGATTCTTGGTTTTATCAGCACTTGAAATATCTCTCGCATGTAAAAAAAAAAAATCTTCCATTTAGTTTAAAGATTGCTTCTTTGTTATTTGGAAATTGAGGGTTTTTTTCACTTCAGGACAGTATACTCATGGATATTGTTTTATTTATACAGATTTATGAGCAGAATTTTTTCATGAAATTTCTACATCGGTTCTGTGTAAAAAGATTGAAAATTGAGTACCAATTCGTGAATTGTAATTCTGTACCGAATCACGATATGAAAGAATTCAGGGTCGAGAACGCTATTGGCGGATCAGACACTAGGCGGCACATTTTTGAATGAGTGTGGCGTGCTACATGTTTAAAACTGGCTGAAGTCCGGACAACCGTCCGAGAACGGTTCAGATTCCCAATCTCGGGCAGTACGAGTCCAGCGTCCGGACTAAACCTCGTCCGACGTTGTAGATGAAACATTTTTAACCTGACGAAAATTCTAGTGTTTGCGAGGTTGTAACCTCGATTACGATCAGACTACGAGAAAGGTAACACCAGAGCGTCTTGAAGACTTTAATCGCTGACCAATGAATCTGCGTTACTGCTACGTCCGTCCACTAATCGAACTGTAATCGTCCGGTCCATTTGGGAAGGCAATTCGCGCAAAATGTTCCATTACTGGTCCGATTGTTAACGACGTCGCAAGTGGTCTAGCGAGGAAATTCACGAAATACAACGAGAAGGTTAAAAAAGTCCGGACGACTGCCAGTCCGGACAGGCTGAAGTAATAAATGTAACACGCCCTAAAAGATCCGTGTCGTCAAATCTCAGAAATCAAACCCAGTCTGACCAGATCGTACCGTTATACACCGTCCGATCAGCTTTCAAATCTCAAGGTTGTGCAATACCTCTTGCTGCTTGCAAATCTCAGGGCGGTGCAATGTCAGTCTCACTTTCACCCTCTGAGCCAGCAAAAAGCAGGAAACCGTAGACTTGCTAGTCTGCTTTGCTATCCTGTGACTGAGCGTGTACCCCGCCAGGTACGGGTTATAACGTATGTGTGATGTAGAACACGGTTTTACACCGCCAGAGGCTCTCTCGTCTGTGGAACATTGAAATATCGAACGCCAGTGCGTGTCTGCCCGCTTCGCGGTCCATCTGCTGTTCCGATCGAGGGGTCTACAGCGTTCACAGAACCCGCCGACATCAGACCGTTGCGAGGTCGTTCCCGTAGGATCGTAACTAGCTACATCTGACAGGACTCAGTTGCCAGAAGGAGAGAGTAATTACTATTACGTGACTAGTACTCCCAAACGACGACTTCAGAAACTGTGCTCCTAGTATTAATCATGTTTTCGGAACAGTTCTGACAGCTCGCACAACCATGCACAAGTAGTCGTGTCGTCCCGCCTCGCACTACTAGATCTCGCTGTAGTCGCGGCTGATGTTTTGGCTATGTTGATGGCTAGCCGTCAATTGACTCCAGAGCATGCAGCGAGATTTGGACTAGTTCTACCGACCAGAGACTAACGCCTATGGTCGGTCACCAGAGACTTCAGCGTTCTTGAAGCATCGCCTGCAGATCGCCTGAGATGATCTCATGTCGTCCAAAAGCGTGTTCGTTTAGCTGACTAGAAAACACACGATGCCTGGTGGCATTCGTCTGCAGATAGTTCGAGACGTTCAGAACAACCTGTAACAAACTCGTTACATCTGTCAGCCCATTTCTGAAAGAGCTACAAGTTCCAGCCAGCCTTGATGCGCGGCAACATTCGTCTGCAGCAGGGTGACTTTTGAATCGACTCAGGCTCAGAGAACTCTTAAGTTCCAGCCAGGCTTGATGGCTGGCAACATTCGTCTGCAGCGACGGCTGCAGCGCAAGGCGAAGGCGCGGCGGCAGCAGCTGAGCTACCGCACGATTCGCTCCGCGTTCCTCGTCGCCGCGCTCTGCTCCGTCACGTACGCCTGGGTTATCTTCCTCAAAGGCTCCCGACCATACGTACGTACAGTGTTGCGACACCCTGCATCACCTTTATCTGAAGGAACCGAACAACTCAGGGTATACCTTTTTCCTTCTCTTCATGAACCCCCGCTGTCACATTGTGTGCCCCGCAGTGGTGGTGGGTTCCCTCCACGAACGCCCATCCACGGGCGTCCATCTTGAGCTCACTTATAAGGCGCCTTAAAACTCTCCCTCCGCTTCCCCCTCACCTGTGTATACACTCCCCAGTGGTGATGGGGTCCGTCCACGTGCGACCATGTGTTGATGAGTTAAATTCTAGCTCACCTTTTGAACCTACTCAAATCACCCTTCTCTCCTCTCACTCCCCTCCCCCACTGCCCTTGACTATGCCCCCGCAGTGGTGGTGGGGTCTGTCCACGGGCGACCATCCAGAGCTCATCAAGGCCCGCTTCGCCAGTGTAAGCACCGTACTGTACCGTACTGTACCCCCTTGCAGCGCCCCGTTGCCAGCACCGTCTTCAAAACATCTGTTTCAGTCGCAATCGTCTGCAGAGACCTTTCTCAACCTGCTTCAATCCAACTTCATACGCCTCCCTGACCTGTCATGCTGCTCTTGTTTCTCCTTCCGTCCGTGCGGCGAGCCATTCCTTGAGGCTGCAGAGAGCGCATGAGCCAGCAACTCTGTGGGACAACCCCGTGAAGGGCAAGTGGCAGCAGTGCGTGCGACCCTCCCCTGCATACGCTGGTGAGTTAGTTGGCTTTTCCCCCCTCCCCAGCGTATGGCGTTTGGGGGAGGCAAAGTAGAGAGAGTATCAGTCTAAGATTCACCTAGTCATGCTCTCCTCTGCGTGTCCTGTGTGTTTTGTCACACTGCCACGTCATGATGACACCCCTCCGTAGCCTGCCTGGACTTACAAGTTCCTGCCCCTGGTCTTGGCCATTCAACCTCCCTTCGTACTGACGTGCCACCCCTCTTCTTTGCCTGCCTGCCTGCAGACACACCTTTTTACGTGTCAACGGGGTATCTGCAGGTGTTACCTGGGGAATGTCAAGTATTTCCTCTCATGCCGCCCTTTCTTACCACCCTGCAGACGCACCCCTGTACAAGTCAACGGGGTATCTGCAGGTGTTACCTCAGAAACTTCGATTATCCCCCCTCATGCCGCCCTTTCTTACCATCCTGCAGAAGCGCCCCTGTACGAGTCAACGGGGTATCTGCAGGTGTTCTTGGATGGTGGCCTCAACCAGCAGCGCATCAGCGTAAGCCGTTTTGCACCCATCTCTATCCATCTGCACCCTCCTGTATAAAACTTCACCCATACGTATTGTTCTGCAACCATATTCAGTGATCAGCACCCATCTCTACTGATGCAGCTCAAACTCCTGTGGTACTCGCCTGCTACTCGCCTGCTACGCGCCTGTGCAATGTGATAGCTCATCATTTATTCAACTCAAGATGTCAATGTCTCTCCTCTCGTCCTCCCTCTCTGCCTCTCTCTGTGTGTGTCAGATCCGCAATGAGGTGGCAGTGGCGCGCCTGCTCAACATGATGATTGGAGTCACTCAAGAATCAAAGTCTCTCTTCTCTCTCTCCCTCTCTGCCTGTCTCTGCGTGTGTCAGATCTGCAATGCGGTGGCAGTGGCTCGTCTGCTCAACGCCACTCTGCTCATCCCTCACTTTCAGATCAACCCTGTGTGGCTCGACGACAGGTAACAGTACTTCTAGATAATACCTTATGGCCTTGTTCGGCCGGCGCATCAGCTGATGCGCCAACAGGCTCGGGGATGGTGCAGCCATACCAGGCGGGGAGGTTTGGGTTTTTTTTCGACATGCCAAAATGTTTAGGGTTTCGAGGAAGTCATACAGCGCATGCAGCCAAAATGTCGTGGGCTTCGTGGTAAGTCGTTCAGCGCGAAATTCGCCAATGAGGTTGCCCTTCACCAGCTGATGCTCCCAATTGCTAGGAGATGAAGGTTCCTGGAACAGGGCGACATTTGAAATTTCAAGGGTAAAAAGGCTGTTCGGCAGCATTCTGAATTCGTTAGCTTCGGCAGCCATGTGCTTATCTCGAGACTTGATAACCTCTCAACAGGTTATCAAGGAAGGTTCACGGATGGTCGTTTTACTGTTGCCATCCGGGCTTATGCGCCAACCGAGCTAAGCCTATAGGTGATACATTGCATGCCGCTGACTTGAAACAGTGCCTGTTAAAAGGAAATCAGAGCAGTAAGTATAACTGACTGACCCGGACCAGGTGCAGCAGAACACCAGCAGCCTCTCCAACGGGTTCAAAGCGGACCATTTCCCTCCTATCACGTTTCCCTCCTGTGCTTCTCCTTCCCCCCACCCTCCTTTCACCCTGTTCCCCTCCTCTTCCCGATCACAGCCAGTTTGAGGACATATTCGATATAGAGCACTTCTAGAGGTGACTTCTGAGTCGTTCAAAAAGTCATCCTCCCTCCCCCCTTTTGAGTCGTTCCCTCCTCCTCCTCCTCCTCCTCCCCTTCACCTTCCCAGCCAGTTCGAGGACATATTCGATGTAGAGCACTTCATGCGCTACCTACAGCGCGATGTGCTGATAGTGAGGCAGCTGCCGCACAAGTACCGGTGGAGCACGCGGGAGTTCTACAGCACGGGCGTGCATCAGAACCGCATCAAGTTCGCGCCCATGCAC